CAATACAGTAACAATTGTGATCATATTTAAGGCTTACTTGTCTTGTTTCATGTTATGTTCATTGAACTAATTAAAATAACGATAGTACCATAGTATTATCATAGTAGTCACGTATTATTATTATTTAAAAACATTTATATTTTAACGCTAGGTGGATAGACAGTGTGAAAGGTAATATGCATAAAAGAGTGAGCCCAGAAATACCAGTTGATAGATATTTGTGGTAAATGAAGATATATTTTGCCGATCCCAAATAAATCGGAAAAGGCAAGGCAATGATGATTTATATTTTAACGTACAACTTTTTATACTTTTACAAAAAAAAATTATCAAAAATATTATTTAACAAATTATCAAATGTTTACATATTATAGCTCGTGACTCTACATAATTAATCGCTATAAAAATGTTGAATGTCATATAAAATTGATACTATGAATGATTATGGTCTAAGAAAGATCTTACAATTACTGTATTTTCAGTGGTGATGCTAGCTTTGCAGCCGAATGGTATACGTTTGCAGCACGTCCACCTGATCTTCTTGTTGTACGACTCGTGTTTGATGAATTTAAACCCGTCCACATGCACTACCAAATGACCACGACTGGATAAACCGAAGTGTACTGCAACAAAACGGTGATGTTAGAATTAATATTAATTGTAATGTAATCATATTCATAATACTTATTATTATATTATAATATAATAATTAGTAATAATAATTGTCATTGTAACAAAGATCAATCAAAGTTACAATTGTCACTATGACAATTTTGTCACTTTTATCAAATATATGCCTAGCGGTATATACACTCGTGAACTTGATATGTTTGACGAAATTGTCACAGTGACGAATGATAACCTTGCACGTTTAGTCAATATTTTTTTAGAACAGTCAAAACATGATACATTTTCATTATCTTATAAAGTCAGTTCGAACGAAGCATACACTCCGATTAATTTTGCAGACGCAGATTATATTAAATCAACTATTATTTGTATCAAAACTGGTTATTTCCATATAAAAATAAAATAAAGAAATTCTGAAAATTTATTCTCCTTTATTACAGTGTTTTTTCATTCACCTGTTTATATATCGCCATATACCAATTACAATATTTATTGTAAGTAGTTTGTATAAAATTATTATAAATGTGACTGCATATTTTTTAGTAATATTAAATATAGCAGATTTTATTATATTCTAAAGAATAATCCAACTGTATCATTTACAACATATTAATGAAAATATTACTACTTATATAATATAATTACATTTGAATTAAATTTAAATTAAAATTACGTGACATTACGTAGTTATTGTTATATAATTTAATTTTAAAAATTGTTTTTATTATTAATAGTGTAAAACAGTGCTCAAATCAGTTTTATAATATATTTTTTATTACAGCTGGTCTAATTGGCGCAGGGATCGATTGCATCGCCTCATACTGCCTCAGCAAGCAAGGCAAGATGGGTATCAATGTCGGCGGCTACAGGTTCCGATTTAACGGCTGTGCAAGAAATGGTAAAATCCGTTGGCGCTGCTCCCGGGGACCCTGGTGCAAAGCCGCCCTCCACACCTTCAAAGGGCGCATAGTCTATATACAGAGCACTCACAATTGTGGCCCCAAACCACCCTTTAATTAATACCATTTTTTTATATTGTTATTAATTATTTTAATCTAATTTATAACAAAATAGATATCTTATTTTTAGAACTTATTATTTTTATACATTTATATGTAACTAGTGACTCGACCTGGAATCGCACGGGTTAATAGAATTTTCGTAAATAATAGGTTTATAGCCTATGTTAATCGCTGATGGTGTAGGTGTCAACTTATCAGACTTATTACTATTAACTCAAACAAATATAGAATACATATAAAATTATAATCCACTAAGAATAAATCCAATAATTTAGAAACCAAGAACATATACCAAGCAGAATTTTCGATAGCAATCTATTTAATCACTACCTCTAGAGAAGTGGCAAACAAATCTAATGAGAGATACGTTTCCCTTAGTGCACACAAGAGAAAAACAAATCCCGCGTGTTGATTTCCCGTACTATCTCGTGTACGTGGTAACGATAACGTATCTATCAATAAATTTGTTTGCTATTTGTCTTGAAAATTCAGTGATATTCCCCTTTATTTATTTTTTTACAGATAATTTGTTTTTCAAAAACGCTTAAGATTTTCTTTTTTATTACAGTTTTCTTTGAATTCAAAATAACTATTTTAACAGTTTAAGTCACAACGTTAAAGTATCTAATAATGTATAAAGAAATCAAGGGTGTAGACATAATAGATTAGATATCTGGTTTTTATATATCTTAATATGTTTAATACGTTGCGAATATTAATCGACAGTTTACTTCTTTTTGTTTCAGCCCTATAACAATGTATTTATGTTTAAAATTAAGAAATAAAACAAAACTTTAAATGTAATTCTAAAAATTATAATTATTAATACCTGTGTTGTAAAAACAACTATTTCTGTGAGATTTTTTTGAAACTCGCATCTAAAATAATTGTTATACTTTAAAAAAATAAATATTTTCACTCACTTACGTTTTGTTATCGAATATGTGAATAGTCTAACATTAAGAAAGAAACCAGTACAAAATTTATGTTAAAAAATAATTTTGGAATGTGTAATAAGTAATTAATGTAAAAATATAATATAAATAATTGTAAATATAATGTAAATTATATCAATTATATGTGTAATTATGGCTCAACAAATACAATATCATTAATAGGGTTATGACGAAATAGTTACCGTCCCTTGATATTAAATTTTAATAAGCAATAATATTCAGAGTAACGTAATATATAAATTATATATGACTTTATTTTACATTTGAACCGTCGTTCACACCGAAAGCATACACTTAAAATAAAAATTGTGTTTAAAATATTTACAAAAAGGATTATTAAAATTGATTCAGAACTGACGAAGATATCGCGTGATATATACATAAATAAATAAAAAGCATTCGAAAATATCATAAAGTAATAATAAGTAATATCCTTGAATACTTTTTATTATCTATTCTCTGCTTTTATCATCTAAATAAAAACATTTCATGTTTTATACAACGTTCTTTACATTAATATGGAATAAGTAAAAATCGAATACTAACTACCCGTTTTATACCCGATTATATTGAAATTTATCTTTTTTTTTAAATAGATATAATTTAAGAAGACTTTACTTAATTGAAAATATTTCTATAATATATGTCATTTATGTTTTGTATCATCTAAAGATTTCTATAATTGATACATGTGTTTTAAAATTTATTTTCGTTATATATTTTTTTCTGTTATTAATTGTATGTACAAATACTCACATTTTATTTTGAGGTATTAATTTTCTCTAAATGTAACGTTATACCACGTTTTTCGGTCGTCATGTCGTTTTAGGTGGTCCAGTTTTTTATCTCTTCTATTCTCTATTGTATAACCTAAACAATTAGTTAATTATTATATTTCATTGGCGTACTTTAAGAGTGCTACCGTTTATATATCGTGACCATACATATCAACATGAGTATATTTTATTTTATTAAAAAATGTACGTAAGTGGCAACCCTATATATAAGTATTACCCTATGTATTACTATATATTAGTAAAATATAAAATCATCAGAATTAATTAACTTTTCATAATCGAGATTAAAATTAAAAATAATTTTACAATTTTTGTACATATAAATAGAAGAAAAATAAGCAGATTTGTTTGTTTATTGATTGTTGAACAAGTTTGTGAGTTCCTAATATGCGATTCCGATCACGAATGTATCGACTACAGATGATTCATTGTAAGATTTAAATTTACCGATGTAGGATCAAATACAGGGTCAGTTTATTCATAAGCAATTTATGAATTTGTCAAAATTGATAAAATTATTGAAATATTTGTAAAAAAAAATATTATTTAACGCTGTATATAAAAAGAGTGTAAATAATAGGTACTTATATATATATATATATAAATGTGAATTAGTAAATATTTCGTCATAGTCGTAGAATACTGACGGATCTGACAAAGATTACATATAAAGATCCGTCAATTTCTACGACTATGACGATTTTATAATGAAGTCTTCAAATTTAATCATTACATGAAAATAACTGCTCGATTACACGAATGAAAAATATACAACAAACTCTACATCTGTAATATAAAAGGTTCTATACATGGATAACATACAAACAGACTTATTTAGCGATCATAAGTAAGAGTTAAAATTAAAAACGTTAATTAATTGTAATTTAAAAATTTATTTTATGATTAATTTATATTTAAAGTTTTGAGTTAAAATTACACAATAGTAATTTATAATAACTTATAAATTTAATTTTTAATTTAAATTTAATTTATACTCTTGTATTTTATTTTTCATTTATTTTTATTTCAATAATGGTGATTATGAATGACCATTACGTTTTATAGTTTAAAACCTGTAAGCCTTTATGATATTCATTTTAAAATGTTTATTTGTCTTATGAACTAAAAAGGTTTAATGTACGTGCATAATTATTATAAATACAGGAAGTATCTACCTCTTAAATTGAATAATAGTATATGGTTGTGTATTTATTGCAGTAATAACTAAGGTAGTGATCGAAATAAATGCCAAATTGTGAGTAGATATAGCGATATTATATTTTGATGTGTAATTTGGTGTTATGAAATAAAACTAGTCATAACTGTTACTGTATGGTTTTATTTAATTATTTTCTTGTATAACTGGCGAATTTGCAGCTTTAATTAAGATAAAATATGTAGTTATTATTATTCCCTCTCAATAATTAATCCAAGATATGATTAATCTAGGTATTAAATTGCCTTTAAATCAATTAAGACTAAACATATTTGAGTAACCAACGTGTAAATATCAGAATGTTCATATGTTTTTTCTTTATTTACTCCTTTTACATCAACTTTCCTAAACAAGTGTCAAATATATCGATAGATATGTTATCGCTACCGCATACATGAGTTGGCGTTCCATCGTGTTCGTGATTTTTCTTATACGTGCACTAATGTATATATCTACAGATAATTTACGACTCGTCTTCTGCTTACTCTATTCTCTTACTCTCTCTACCTTAATCTATCATCTTGTTATTTCTAATGAATGCTAATGGAATTAAGGTCAAAAAGTAAAAATAGTAGGGACACTTGATACGGCACGACGAACTTATGAACATTATTATAGAAGGTAAGATAGAAGGAAGGAGGGGAAGAGAGTTGGTGTCGTGTCGTATCAAGAGGTGAAGAGACTCGCTGAAAATCGCAGTGAGTGGCAAGAGATCTACCAACAAGAGCACAGCTCTTAAAGAAGAATGTACTTATATATATTAATGTTTTCCATCGTCAAAAAGTAGGTGCAAATTTATATTAACACACACACATAGTCTTGTCTATAAATAAACTGTTCTTAGAAGACTCATACCATTGGATCATTTCAATTTGTAACAGTTCTATTAATTCAGGCTGCATTAAACGATTATTACTTCATTGCGGAATCATCATATAATACTAGTTATATGTCGCGGATTTACCCGCCTAAATTAGGACAAAAGTATCCTGTATAAATCTAGGATAATATTGTAGTCTATTTATATAACAAATCTCATTCAACTCCATTCATCGCTTAATTGTATAAAATCTTTCATAATTATAATATAATCAGCAGATAACAGACAGATATTAGTTGCCTGTATATATTTATTTACCTTTTTTACTAAGATCGATCGAGTACTCGTAGTTAGAGTTTGATGTAGTGTCATCTAGTGGGGTATGCAAAAAAAAAATTATTTCTTGTTTCTCATAACTATCGCAGTAGAAACTCCTTGGACAAAATAAAAATACTTATCACATATCAAGAACATTTATTTCAATACCAAAATATTAAAAATGACAAGCCAGTGACAAAAGTGACGGTTCAACTGATAAAAATGGTAACCGTCACCTTCATATTCTCGATATAGAAAAGAACCAATATCGTTCAACAGATTAGAAAGTGTCACATTTATATTAAACCAAAGACCCCCCCCCCCCCCCCCCCACCGGCTTTGCACATCTTTTTTTTAAATAAGTACTACTCACTAATAATTAGTAGTTTTCAATACATGAATTTTTTTTATATCAATCAAGGAGTTTTTGAGTTATCCATTGCAAACATAAAGTTTATATTAATAAAGCAATATGATAATTAGCCGCACTTATTTTATCTAAATAATTAATTATAATTTTAATTTTAAAAATATTATAAACAAATCGACAAGATCAAGTGAGTTGTACAAAGCTCGACAGATAGTATGAACTCGATGCTATGTTAGGATCATGTTCAAGGTTAACGAGTTTATATAAAAATTTGAATATCGAATCTGTTTTTTGAAAAACAAAAACTTGTATTCAACATTAAATATACTTTTTAATTTTTCAGCGAAACTAATATAATATTAATAATATGTACACAAAATGAAAAATTATTTACATAAACTTACTTACATAAAAGTAAGATAAAGAGACAACGGTAGGCGACCTTTTCGCTAAATAACAACCTCTTCAAGGCAAACCTTGAGAAGTGAGGACCCTGTATACCTAAACTATATAATGTAGCAACTGACAAAGGTATTAAACAATATTATTTAAAAAGTAAATTTATTTAACCCTTTTTTGCATGATTTTTTTATTGGTGAAATAAATCAAGGCGATATAATTCATGATCAATATTAATAGAAAAATGTTTAAAAAAATACATTTGAAAGTTATGTTTTTTTTCCGCAATGAACAATAAAAAGCTATCCAGACACGATCGACTTAAAGTGAACGTGTTCTTTTATATAATTTTTGGGCATTCAAAGTTATGATGGCAATTTCCACCATTATGCAAAAAAGGAAAAAAAAAATTAAGAACTAAACGTAATTATAGAACAATAAAACAAATGCAGTTAAAATATAACGTGTTCTTACCAAACTTTTAACATTAAATAAATTTTTCATTGTTCAAATATTGGGGCCTATTTTGAGGTACATATCACAGTGAAGTCTTTAGTTTTAAGACCATCATCATCATCATGATTTCAGCCGTTAACCATCCACTGCTGAACATAAGCCCTCTCCATAAGGGAAGTTTTGCCAATAGTTGCCACGCTTGGCATGTGGGTTGGCAACCGCAGTTAGGATTTTAGTGATGTTTTATGTGAACCAATGAACCATTATGTTCCTTTAGTCGCCTCTAACGACACCCATAGGAAAGCATGGAGTGGTCTATTCTATGCTGGTACCACACCGACAAGCACCTTATTAACTAAATTCCTAAAAGATTTAAGCCAAAATTTTTATAATTTTGGTTTACAAGTTCATAAAACAGTAATTTCGCTATACTATCAAATAAAAATATTAGGTTAAGAAATAAGTTTAGAGAATATACTTCGGATATAAGGAATCGCTTGTCCCTATTAATAAAATCGAATGCATAGTTTTAATAACGTTCTTTTAACCAAAGTATTGCAATATCTTAAATTTAAGAAATTAATTATTTCTAGTAAAAATAATGTGTGTATTTACAATGGCACTGGACATTGTGAACTGAACAAACAGGTCAATTTTTAAAAACAATTGATGACCTTTCAAAGTTTCAGACTGATTATTAAAAAGTTCTCTGCTAGCAAAGTAAATCGACAATAATTAGACAATATTATAGTTTTTACTAAAATTTGGATTGTGATGGCAGAAATGTATTTAAAAAATTCTAAAACAAAATATGAAGTAAGTATAACTTTTTGAGTTGTACATTAATATGCAATGTTTTTATGCAACTTACAATGGCAAATAACGACATGAACAGTACCATGTACATAACAGAATGTTCTGTATCGCCCATGATACCTCCCATGAGTTGCCATTCCTGAGGACTAAAGCGTTATGCCTCTGTGCCCTGTAAATTCACTGCCATATCCCACTCTTTAAACCGAAACACAGCCATTCAAACAACTGCTTCACAGTAGAAATACGAATGAGACAGAGTTACTCAAGGAAATGAGTTTTGTACAAAGTCTCCCTCTGGTTTGAACGTATTCTATGTTTCATATGTATGAGAAGCAGAGCACTCTAAATAAGAATCGAAAACATAAGAAAATGTTCAATTATTTTTGACAATTGACAGATAATTGAAATGTTGCGTCACTTTGTTAAGAACGCTCTAAAGAGAGAGAGAGGTGAGAATTTAGGTGTAAAAAGAATGTAGGTAGGTAGTGTCGGATCAAGTTTCGATAAAAACAAAAATGAAAATATATTTATATTTCAGATACATTAAAAAGTGTTCTGTTGGTGAATTAAAACGATAATATTACACATAGACTACTTTGCACCTACTTCATATTTTGCTTCGAAAATTTTCAAATACTGTTTTTTTATACTGTTTAATTACTGTTTTTGTTAAATTTTGCTACCAAAATCAAAAATTTTTAGTGATACCTTTATAAGAATATTAGCTTTTACCCACGCCTGGGACTGTAGTCTGCGTGACCGACATATCTTTACTGACCGGAATAAAAGTAGCCTTTATCCTTCTTCGTCCCAAATAGTGCGTGTATACCAAATTTCATAGTGATAGGTTAAGCCGTTAAGGCGCTATGAGGCAACAAACTCACTTTCACATTTATAATATTAGTAAAGGATTGTTAAATAATATTTCAGTTCGTTAACAGAACCTTTTTTGAATAATCAATCAAAAATATTCGAAATTGTTAATTATTTTTGATATTGACACACTTAGGAAAGCTTCCGATAAACACTCTTAAATACATTTCGTCATAGTCGTAGAATACTGACGGATCTGACAAATATTACATATAAAGATCCGTCAGTATTCTACGACTATGACGATTTGTTATATCCTAATTTGTACCATATAAAGAAAGTCAGATATGTGTTTTACATATCCAGTTAATAGGGAAAATACACACTATATTCCATTCCACATACTAATTTCGTTTTCTCTATAAACTTTTTATTACATAAGGTGCATTATAAGTAGTTGGACGCAGCCTGTTTTCTTGCTCTTTCCGGAGCATGCTTCAACCATATCTTAATTTGATCTTCTACTTGTTTGACAGTCACGTCTGGGGTGGAACTGGCAATAGCTTCTGCAAGTAAATGAAAGGTTACCATTGTCTACAGACATGAAGCACCGTGAGCATCACAGGATACACTATCATGCCCACGGTATGGAACTATTAGGGAATTATTTTCAAAACATTGTGCTCACCTATAACACACTTTCCCAATAGTAATGTTGAAAATGCTCTTTTGGAGCCTTTTCCGAAATAATTATACTTTGAAGCCATTGTATCTAGCATAAGTATTTTTAATACTCTTGATACTCTGTTTGCCAAATGTCGTCCACCGACAGATCTTATGTATTTGAACTGAAATAAAAATTGTTGAATGAATGAATGAATGAGTATTATACAATATAGGAAATAAACAAGACAATTTACAAACATAACGATACAATTTTATAAGTACAGTAAGGCGGTCTTATTGCTGAGGGCAATCTTTTCAAGACAACCTTAAGGTAATGGACTAATTGTTGTACAAGTAGGTATAATAGTGCTTTATAATTAAAAAAGCATCTTTTGCAAATTAAAAATATATAAAAATTATATACATATATACACACATTGTTGCATCATCGTCATCTTTCCTTACCTTCCTTATCCCAATTACTTGGAGTTAGCGTAATATGTACTTTCTTTGCTTTCTATTCATGCCAGAGGGAGACTTTGTACAAAAGTTTGCTTGGATACCTCTGTCCCATTCGTGTTTCAACCGTAAAGCAGTTGTTTGCATGGCTGTGTTTCGTTTTGAAGGGTGGAATATGGCGTGAATTTACCAGGGTACAGAGGAATAACATCCGAGTCCTCAGGAATGGCAACGCATGAGGGGTATCATGGGCGAAACAGTATACTCTGTTATGTCCATGTTGCTGCTCATATCTATAGGCGACGGTTACCACTTTCCATCAGGTGATCGTCAGCTTGTTTGTCATTCTGTTATATAAAAATAATTATATTCACAGTAATTTCAATTTTCACTCCCATTTTTCCCATATCGTCTTTCACACAGATCATCCATGTCTTTTTAGGTCTGCCATTGACCTTATAACCATCCACATTTATCCTTAAAACATGCTCCTCATCCCTCCGCATCACATTGACATACTAAGATAATTACTATTTTTCTTTTTGTCGATGGCATTACTTTCAAACTTCCTCTGACATTATTCTTTAAGACATTAACTGTCCACTCCTGAACATAAACTTACCCCCCATAAGGGAAGTTTTGCCAATAGTTGCCATGCTTGGCAGGTGGATTGTTAACCATTGGCTTTGAGATATGTTTTAAGTGGGACGCTGCTGCCTATTCCTTGCCCTCCTTTAGTCGACTCTTACGACAACCACGGGAAAGGAAGGGGTGGCCTATTCTATGCCGGGACCACACGGCGAATATACTCATTCTTAATTTTGTCCATCATTATTACACTATTTATTAGATATTCATACACCTTCAATATTAATATAGTTTTTTTTTTTATACCACTGAGGTGGCAAACAAGCATACGGCCCACCTAATGGTAAGTGGTTACCGTAGCCTATGAACACCTGCAATACCAGAGGTATTGCTGACCGTGTGTTGCTGACCCTGAAGAAACCTCTTTACCCCCTTTTGAAGAACCCCATCCTGTAGTCTCTCGGAAAAACCTCGAAAATATATAAAGCAAATAGACCATCCACCAAACCACAGCAAAAATCACGTTTACCTACCAAATTAATATATTTTCCTGGTTCATTTCTAAGCACGAGCTCAATTGCATTCAATTCATCATCATTTTTTATAGGAAACTGAAATTCATGGCGATAATTTTCCGGTTGTGCAGTTTCTTTTAACAATTCAGATATTTGTTCGTTTTGATTTTTTATAGTTGACAGTAGTGTTATCATTTCAACTTGATAAGCTGAAATTGGAAATGTATATTTACAATGTACTTAAAGACAATTTAGTGAATTAATTATATAGCAATGTAGGTTTTATATTTTATACAAACGAAACAAAACGGGTATGTTTTAATTTTTTAAGGGTTGTTTGTGTTTAAATCATATTCAAATTTTATTTCTCTTGTTGTATGGCCAACTTCATACTGTGTTACCTGATCATAGATGTTAGACAACGTAAACACTTGTGAACTTAGTTCCAATAAAGTAACAAAAAATACACATTATATAAAAATTATATAATTATAAATCATCTATAATAATATCTTAGTTTTTTTCTTGGATAATAATGTAATGGAAACTCAAGCTGGGTACCTATTGGTATATACTGACTGGGCACCAGTGAGGAATGATTGGTGAGGATGAAAAGGCAGGTCAGTTAGCCCATTGTGACCAATTCAGAGATAAATTAGTCACGATGGTTTCCAGGGGGAACCGCGTGGAGGTCAACCTGATTGACCATTGCTTTCAATATACCTTATATTGATAGCAATGGGAACGAAGGGGAGGCCCATTACTAACAATCCCTTCCCACAGTTCTCAGGGTTGGCAACGCATGAATATCACAGATACCGTGTACATACAATATACTGGTATTGTGATATGCATGACAATATGTGACGATTATCATTTTCCATTAACAAAGCCGTCTATTTAATCATATAAAAACTTTTTTTTGATTAATTTCCTTCTTGAACAAGCGTGTTATTTTAGTCATAATATATTTAAATAAGTACATATAGTGTTAATACAGGTTTGAAAAATTAACTGTTTACTTTCTTGTCAAAAGCTAACTTTAAACTATATAGCTTTTGTATAAACCTACTAAAGTTTATTTTGATTTTAATATTCTTCATAGCAAAAGACAATGGATAAAATTTTACTTATGATTACTTCAATAACATTGAAACCTTTATCTGCATGTTAGCAACGAAACACAACTCAATTCACTGGCATTGATATTTTAATTTTTTGCGTTTCTTATATTTTTTTTATTAATGTTAATGGAATGGTAACCCCGCCTGGCGCTAACGGTATACGCTGGCGGGACACCAATGAGGAATGATAAGTAAGAATAAAGAGGCAGGTTGGTTAGCCTATCGTGATGAATACACCTGGAATTAAGCACGATGGTATATAAACCATAGGTCGACCTACCCTCAGGTCGACGGGGAGGTCGACCTGAGGGTATATTGCTAGCAACGGTACTGGTAATCCACATTACTAACAAATCCTTCCCCTCCCCAAAGCGTTTCTTATATGTCATGAGGAACGTTCTAGGATAAACGATTAATCTCTGCTGAATTAACCATACGATCCGGAAACTTAAATACTAAATCAATTAGAAAGAATAGACGTTCTTTATCATTTTATTAAGCACTTCGTTCTACGTTCAAATATTATAAAACTATTTTCGAACAGGTGGTCTACCATGAAACGAAAATCCGAATTTTCGGGCTCAATTTCGAGTTTTTGTTCATACCATAATCGACCCAGTAAATGAAGCTTAACATTTCGTTCGTCATAAATCCTATTCTAATAGTCCAGAGAAATGGTATTTTAACTTTTTTAATAATTTTAAATGGCATATATTATGTAATTTTAACATCAAATTTCTGTTTCGTTCGTGCTCGAAATTTTGAAAAATAATTCATGGTAGGCCCTCAGATATGATATAAAAGCAAATTCTAAGGCTGGATATAAAAGGAGTATTGTTTAGATGCACTTTATACACTTCCCCAGTCTTGAAATTGCTCATGGGCAGCGATATTCAGTTACTATCGGATGAACCACATGTTTATTTGCACCAAAAACGCAGCAATAATAAATAACTACCCAATTTATTGGATTATTTTTAAAATTACATTACCTTTGTTTTTTTTACGTTGCGGTTTGCATGTTGTGCCTTTTATATACTGTGCATTATGTGAGATGACTTTATCGATGCATAATTTTGCAATATCTGAAAAAATGGGACACATTATTATTTATGTACCTATAAATAGTACAATGTAAAACTACTATAAATTGCAAAGTATAAAAAATTACTAGGTAGTTCTAAGGTGTTCCTACCTTAACTCTAGTATTGTATATAAATTACCATTATCAAGTTTTAATTTTATATTAAAATACCTATCTGTATTTGATTTAAATAAAACCAATTAAATGTAATTTTTTTTTTTATTATTTTAAAACAGTAAATACGTTGTGGTTACAATTTTTTATTTTGAGACTTCCTTCTTGGGCTCCACACTGTCAAGGACCTATAAATATGGAATTTAAGCAATTCATATGATTTTATAGGATCTAATCGGATCCTATTACGAAAATAAACACATGGTTGAAATATATTTATAATGATTGGTAATTAATAGTAAACAAGTTATTAAAACTAAATAAATATAGGTATCAATGATAATCAATTAATAATTTTCTATGTTTTAAGCAGAATCAGTAGTAATAAAACTAGTGTTTTTTTTATGGTTTGCGGTACAGTATTTAAGGCATCCTCGCTATTGGATACGGGTGACGGAATGCCTATACAAGAGGGTACATGGTGGGCGGAATAAAACTAGTGTTAGATTTACAATCTCGTGATCTTTTTTTTTTTATACATACAACTTAGAATGGCAAACAAGCTGACGGCCCACCTGATGGAAAGTGGTAACCGTCGCCTATATACATGAGCAGTACCATGGACATAATATCAAAACTAATAAGTAATAATAAATAATTACACTACTAATTTTAATAATAATAATTTAAATATACTTAGTATAACTACCACAATACAACTCTTGACGAGTTCACTGAAAAACTCTCCAACGGTTCGACGCACAGATGAAACAGCGACTGGTACGGGTTCTCGTCGCACGTAGCTGCTCTAAGGTGGCGTGGGAAAGCGATCCGGGGTGTTTGTCCCCCTTCTGTTGGTATCGCTCACCGCGCATAACTATGTGCAGGGTGTGCATCTTGGATTGTTCCATAAGGGATAACCACCATTTATAAACAAAACCCAATAATAATTAATTAAAAAAATCATTAATAGCAATAATTTATAAAAAAAACAGATCGGTGTCACAAAATATATTTTTCATCCTGTAACATGCCGCAGGCAGGCATATTTAGCGCGGGCGGTATTTTTTAAATGGTTACCATTCCATTTTTATTACTTAAAAAAATTACCTTAAAAAAATTTATTACTTAAAAAATCTGTTAATAGTGAAACTGAGCATTCATTTCAAAGAAATGGCTAAAATAAATAAAATATCGACCATGAAAGGTAAAACATGTCAAATCGTAACTTATCTTTCTTTCTAAAAAATACTTCAGTTTCACTAGTAGAAAATGCTACTTTTTTCTACATTACCTGTATATATTTCTCCAGCAGTTAATTTTATCTGGACCGAATATTTTTTTTAATTGCTAATAATGAAATGGGATACATCGGGAGTAGAAAAAGGGGTAGAAATAAAACAGGGGTGTGTGCCCAGTTTTAATTCGTGAATAATATTTACATTTCTTAATATTAAAACAAAAGACTGAATAGTGCTTCCCATTAAAATAAATATAAAATCTAATATTTAAAATATTCTCACAAACAATACAGAAATTAGGTACATAATTTTCATTTTAATTGATAGCAACTTTATATTTAGCTTCTTATATACAACTTATCTCGCACTGAAATAAAATAAAATTATTCATATAAATAAAACACTAAATAGCCTAATTCCTTTCTCCCAGCGATTTACATAATGTTTCAACCTACTTCAAAAAGAAAGGGTCTCAATTCAATTGGAGCGTGTATGTTACGCGATACATTTATTGCCACTATTTCGTCATAATCGTAGATAACTGACGGATCTGATAAATATTAAATATAAATCCGTCAGTATTCTACGACTATGACGAATATGATAATAGTTCTATCTCGTTGGATCTATATTTCCTTACACGATTAGCGCAGTCATTGTGATAAAATCGTATTTTACTTAACGATACGCAATTTCAATTAAATAATGACATACATACCTGATATTATTCCCAAAGTTGAGACCTCCCCTGGACTAAGCCCGTTGCGTAGGTACCGAGAATTAATATAATAATAGACGTGTGTATATATATATAAAGGTAACCCATGGTACGCCTTTACATATTTTAATTATAAACAGCCCACGAAAACATGAGTGCAAGAACTTTACAATAATGTCAATTAAACAAATAAAATAACTATTGGAGTCATAGCAATATTTAAAAATTAAGGCTAATTATTAATATTAATAAATAAGAAAAGTCAATTTTTAAAAATAATTATTTCTTTTCAATAACTGTATTTAAGGCGCGTTAAATTTCTAAAGAAGTAGTCAACCCAGATGGGATGGTATGTGTGGGGGCAACACATACGAAAATATGTAATGTGTCGTCGATCTTCCGCAATTGGAAGATCAGCACGCGGATGACCGAGCAGCCGCCGGATGCCAGCATTCCACGACATTATGTCGACACAACGACCGATATTCCGCGTAATGTGACCAACAGTAGGAAAATGTATGCGACCTGATAATGCATTGGCGTTCCATCGCAGAAGATCGGCGACCGAAGATCGACTTAATTGGTGCTAAGTATTACATACAAACTAAAATTTGTCACTACATCAAGTAGGTATATAATAAATATAATTCATGATTATTAACATAAAATAAACAGTTTTATTATATTACCATCTTTTTTTTATACAACTTAGAATGGCAAACAAGCTGACGGCTCACCTGATGGAAAGTGGTAACCGTCGCTTATAGACACGAGCAGTACCATGGACATAACAGAGTATACTGTTTCGCCCATGATACCCCCCATGCGTTGCCATTCCTGAGGACTCGGGTGTTATTCCTCTGTACCCAGTAAATTCACGCCATATCGCACCCTTCAAACCGAAACACAGCCATGCAAACACAACTGCTTCACGGTTGAAACACGAATGGGACAGAGGTACCAAGCAATCGACTTTTGTACAAAGTCTCCCTCTGATAAATGTCTATCTACCACCGCCACGTGGTGTATTTGCATGGGAGTTAATATAATAGAATAAATGATAATGTGCAATAAAATTTAAGCAAATATGACCTCTTAACTGATAATTATAAAGAAAAATATAACTAAATTTTTTTTACACACTTGTATGTCTAGTCGGTTGCTATTAGGACTTGCAGAGATGAGAAACTGTATTCAGCTGGCAGATGGCAACTGCGAATTCGCACGAACATGCGTGCACGTCAAACAATAAAATTGTGTACTCTGATTCGACGGTACATAAAATACGGCTTGGATTGCCCGTCGTCAACCTATATCCCTTATTCTCATCAACAGTCCAACATATTTACATATCTCTTACATCTATTATATTTATATATACATTGTTTATAGTTTTTATATTTACGAATACGTCGCATCTTAATATTCGTACGTTACGATGAACGCTTAAAATTGATAATAATCGTCGAATGAAAACCTCTTGACAATTGGCAATACAAATATAGTATATACGGTTACGCTAACACATGATAGATAGTAATAAAATCCCGGCTTTTTCTTTCTTTTTCATGCGTACATTAATATAAACATATTTCTAAAATAGATTTGTTTGATTCATTAATGAAAACGATTGTTCTTGTCAAAGTTAGATAAAATTACATTAATAAAACCAGCTATACAAGAAGCAAGTTTAAGGCAATGTTATCAATAAAGATCTAGCTATAAAACTGTTATATATTTATTGTATTGGTCATTGTGTCCGAATATGATTGCAAAAAACGTAAAATGTATTATTTTACTAATCAAATGCATTTTCAAAACCAGTTTTTCATACATCAAAAAGTTCTCTTCCACTTATATTCGTAAATATAAAGCATATTGGTATCTACTTTTTATCACAACACGAGTGATAATACAATAGATGGTTACCAAATGTTGGATCACCAACTTTACATAGGGGCAGTTATGATTTGAACACAGGAGACCACGCCATGTTCATCTTTCAAATGGTCCAATATCAAAGACATTGTTCGGACTTTGTCGCTGTTCTTTGAACATTTGTATTGGCAAATTTTACAGGTGTAGTATTTTGGGTGGCTTTGATCGAACACTTTCCATACCCATACGTCGGTTTCTGAAAAGAATCACATGAATTAATTAAATGTATTCACGACTGTAATCCTAAAATGTAACACCCAACATGTGCTCCTTACTCCGAGCATATTATCGATAAATGGATGACAGGATATTAGTGAAAGATGCAACCAATGATAATAAAGCGTCAGTTAACCCATGAGGAATTAACCAGAGGGAGACTTTGTACAAAAGTCGATTGCTTGTGTACTTCTGTCCCATTCGTGTTTCAACCGTGAAGCAGTTGTGTTTGCATGGCTGTGTTTCCGTTTGAAGGGTGGGATATGGCGTGAATTCACTAAGTACAGAGGAATAACACCTGAGTCCTCAGGAATGGCAACGCATGGGGGGTATCATGGGCGAAACAACTTATCATATAATGTATGATAAGTGTAGATATAAATGTACTGTATCCATCGCACACCACATCCAGCGCTGTATCCATCATAATTGGCTGAGCTGCTTTTCATTCTCACCCATCATCTCTTACTAGTGCCCCGCCAACGTATACCGTTAGCGCAGGCGGGGTTACCATTCCATTATCATCCATTTAAAAGAAAAAAGACGTGCGCAGCCGTGAGCAGTTTTTAAACTACTGTGAACACTTACCCTGTGTCTTGTTATGTATCATCTTAAGATGTCTGTTCATATTGCCGGTGGCGTTGCCGCCGTGACTGATGCTGCGATTGCATAACTTGCACTGCGCTATTGTTCCCGACATCTGGTTGAAGTACGACCACACCCAGCTGCGCCGCTTCATGGCTGATATGTCTGTTGATTTCAATAATTATATTGGTATACCATTGGTGTTTGTTTCATTATACACAGCGCCATCTAGTCCTAGACACTAGACAATTAAAAAACAGTTTTTTATAAATACATACATACATGTACACAAAGAAAACAAATACAAACAGACATACCCTTTAATAAAAATTATTGTATTGTGTGAAAAGTGAATCTGCAATAATCGAAAAGTAAAGCAATGTTAAACAAACCACGATCCTTATACAAGTTTGCACAATCTTTTCCTTCAAACCGAAACCACAATATAGACATAATAAATACATAAGTTCGGTCCTTCACGGCAAAATTGGGTACGTACCAATTGGGTTGGGTATTACCACAGGGAGACTTTATACAAAAATCGTTTGCTTGGGTACCTCTCTCCCATTCGTGTTTTAACCGTAAAGCAGTTGTGTTTGCATGGCTGTGTTTCGATTTGAAGAGTGGAATATGGCGTGAATTTACAGGGTACAGAGGAATAACACCTGAGTCCTCAGGAATGGCAACGCATTGGGAGTATCATGGGCGAAACAGTAGACTCTGTTATGTCCATGGTACTGCTCATGTCTATAGGCGACAGTTACCACTTTCCATCAGGTGGGCTGTCAGCTTGTTTGCCATTCTAAGTTGTATAAAAAAAAACGTAATGTTTTACTATCTTAATAAGAAATACTTAATCATCTTCATCATCATAACAGCCGCTATCTGTCCACTGCTGAAGATAGGCCTCCCCCATAGGAATCGGGGCTGTTGGTTGGTTTACTATTGGGGGGATTTTGCCAGCAGTTGCCACGCTTGGCAATCCCAATTTAGCCTTGGTGATGTTTTAAGATAGACGCTGCTGCCCATCCTTTGGCCACTAAGTTCCCTTAGTCGTCTCTTACGCATCCACGGGAAAATAAGGGGTGGTCCATTCTATGCCGGGACCACACGACACAAATAATTAATAAAAACAGTATTTTGTAACATTTTTAATTTAATTCTTTTATTATCTCATGTGTGATAGATGCTATTTATTCTGTATGACAACTTCCATCCTTATACAAGTACTTTTGATGTGTTCTGTGTGTACATGACATGTTTATATTAAACGCCATCTAGTGGCAACAAATGTTTTACCATGCGTAAGACTAGATGGCGCTGTAATCATAAAAATAAACATGACAAGATAGTAGAATCAAATTTTAATAGAAAACACGAAAAATATTACTTAAGAAAAACTCACCTGACTCCAACTCTTCATTGATGTTCTCGCAAGAATCATCCATCACTTTAAAAGCTTCCATATCTTCACTCTGCTCGAAGTCCACTTCTTTTGATTTGTCCTTTTTCAAATATATTTCCGCGTCGTACACGTCCGCGTGCCTAGTTTTAACGTGGCGGTTCATATTGTTCGTGTTGCAGCCCTTGATCGACAACACTATGTTACAGAGGTTGCACTGGAACATAGTATTGTCGTCTTTCACTTTTGTGAAATATTTCCACACCCAACTGCGTCTTCTTGTTTCCACTGAGAAAGAAAAATAATAAGAATTACACAATTTTTTTAATACAATAAAATTGTAACTCGACCATGTTGATTTATTATTATTATGTCCTCTTAACTGTCCACTGCTGAACATAAGCCTTCCATATAAGGGGAGTTTTGCCAATAGTTGCTATGCTTGACAGGTAAGTTGGCAACCACAGTTACACTTTGGTGATATTTTTAGATGGATGCTGCTGCCTATCCCTCAATATTAAGTCCCCTTAGTCGCCTCTTACGATACCCATGGGAAAGGAAAGGGTGGCCCATTCTATGTGGGACCACATGGATAGGCGATATCTGTCTGTATGTATCTATCTGTATGTTCCACCATCATGTAAAAATTACTGCACCATATTGGATGCTACTTTTACAATTGTGTTCCTGAAGGTTTAACTTAAAATCTGGTGTATGTTTTCTATTCTGTATATACATCTTATAGAGAAAACAATAGAATATCTATGTATATAATAACATACAATGGCGGGTTTATCCCATAGGGAGGTGTCTCTTATAGTCAATGTTGCCATTTGTAAAGACTTAGGTGTTATATGCCTTCATACCTAGTGATGAAGAGAATCTGTGAGACACAGTATGCATGTTTTTCTATGTGAAGTTTTACATTTAGATCTGGGTTGTTTCTTTAAATTTACTCATTGCCTCATTATTTTTATACAATTTAAATGGCAAATTAGCTGATGACCACCTGATGAAAAATGATAACCAAGCCTATAGATATGGTAACCACTTCTCTATGGCCAAGACCTCGACATACTTATATATTTTAACTTAAGAACTAGGTACTCGGTATGTGGCACTTTATTTATATAAACATGAAAATATTAATTTGTAATATTCTATAAGCAGCATTAGTTATACTTACAACTAATTAATTTCTTCTTTTTCACTGGTGACACGGTGCAATCGGATACAGATACAATTTTATCTATAACTGGTTTAGTCATCTCCTCAGTAGTTGCTTCACAGACTTCTCCAATGAACACCGGTTCATTTTCTGGGTCCCCGTCGTCCCTTAACACATTCAAATGTAGGAATTCTATATGGTACCCAGCTGGTGATGATGATGTATTATCTTTATGTAGATCATACACTTCTTTGTGATTATCTTTAATGTGATGAAATAAATCCATAGACTTCTCGTTGAACACAGTCAATACTTTTTCACAAATGTTACATTTGTATTCAGTAGCCGATTGTTTCATGTAATATATTATAACCCATTCTGGTAGTTCTGTAAACAAATTTATTATGTTCTCAATCTTTTATAATTTAATCTGCTGCTAATCTTAAGATTAGATGTATGCCATAATTAATAAAAAATATTGGAATTGTCTTTCAAAATAAAAGTGCATAAAATAAACAATAAATAAGGTTTTTCTTTTAATAGATTATATATTGATGTATCTTGAGATTTTTTGTATATTTTAAATTGCTAAATTCAATAAAGACATGCCAAGATTGTTTACTAAAACAGAATATACTTGCTTAAATTTCTTATAAATATAAATGAAACACATAAACTAAATACAATTCACAGTATCTTCAACAGATCAGATCTTATTTCTAAAAGAAATATAAGTAGTTTTATATAATTATAGAATAATTTTACACAATATTGATTTATGGTTTTTCTCGAAGATAAATTTAGATTCATACTAGTATTAATCAAGACAATTTATGACACCTAACTTGAACAAAATGATAGTCAATGACACCAACAGATTAGATTTGTATATAAAATTGTCACTGCACAAGTATCATTGTATTATGTTCAAATTATTTGTCAGTAATGTTGATATAACATAATAGTTTAATTTTCATATATTGTTCTAAATGTTCAATTTATTACAGCTGCTGATACATTAAATATCTTTAGTTATAATAGATATTTATAAAAATAGGTAAATTAAAAAACATGTTCATATTAAAAATTGATTTAATTACAATTTAAGGATAAACAAAAAGTGTATATGTAAATTGTATTGCATTTATTTCAATATATTTTACAATTATACAAATGTACAACCATGACCTCGCTTCTCGCTCTTGGATATATTATCACCTTTTAAATGAAACATTATTTAACATCACTAAAAAAAATTATTTACAAATATCTCTACAATATATTTGAATTTATACAGAAATGTTTCATTCAACAGATTAGTTTGAAATGTGTCACCGAATTCAATAACATATAGATCAGTCACTAAACATTGGTTTCTTGTGATTGTGGAAGTCCCTCACAACTTCAACACCATTTGCTTGCATATTAATCAAAGATATACAACCTGTTTTCTGACGGAACGAACAACACCATTGCTCTGCACCACAAAGCAATCTGCTTTTAAAAACATAAGTGTATCCTTTATACAGAATTTGATGACCTTTTTTTGTCGGTACACACTGCACAAAATCATCGCCTGAAACAACACAAGGCTCTGAATCAATGGTAGCACGACAAAAACAATAAACTTTCGATTCTAAATGTAAAATTCTGAATAAAAACAATACAAATCCCGCCAAGAATCTTTTGTTTTTATTTCATCCCAGATCGATTCATAATGTAACATGCACTTGTTTTGCATATAAATATTAATTTAAACATCTCTCTTTAATAAAATACATAATTTTGTAATAATTTTAAAGAGAAAATTGAACATTTTCATAATAAAAATAATAGAATGAAAATAGAGAAATGTACATGACGCAACCACGCTGTCAATGTGACATAATGACATTTGACGTTCATGTAAACCATAGACGAAGGTTTAACATCTTTGTTTTACAAACAGGAATATTGCAATATTAAAAATATAGAACGTGTAGGGAATTATGAATTCTTTGATTATAGATTGTTAACATTACTTTTAACAATTATATTAGAATAGCTCCAAAGGTGGTCAACAACTTCAGTCTAATAACAATCAAAAATAAATATAACGATTCAAAATTGTTTATTTATAAGCGAACTTAAATAACGAATATGTATTTTAAATTTTAATTTGAAAAATAAGTTCAAATTTGCTTTATGTATATTAACTTATAAAAAAGTCTAAGCTCCTTTTATAAACCGTAAAAACTATATTAACTCACTCATGACCATCTAAGAAGCTATAGAAGAAAAAATAAATATGTAATTTTTATTCTTAGCAAATTACGTAAGAATAATATTATTTATATTATAACCGTAACTAAGGGAATAATTGTTAGATTAGTGAAAATAAAAAAAATAGACACTGGCGCTATAATACAATCTATACAACTACATTCATCGATTATTAATTCGTCATTCAATAGATGGCGCTGTATGTTCTGTAATTCTAACATTGCTTAATTAATGCATATTGACTGTTATCACCTTTGATTAAATATAATTAGATATATCGGACAAAATTCAAAGATTTTTCATTCATAATTTTTAACAACAGTTATTCTATACAATTAACTGTAGAAATAACTATGTTGCACAAACCTACGCTTAAATGTATAAACTCTATAATTAAAGGTATATACCTACTTCCCAGCGAAATCAGAATAATATACTAACCTATATACTTATTTATTGTATATTGTATTTTTTTTTTTTTTTTGTAATACAGGGGACCAAAGCGCTTGCAGTTTATCAAAGTACATTGTGTACGTGAATATATAGAACTTTGGTAAAAAAAAACGAGTCAGCTAATTTGACAATAAGCTAACAAAAAGTTGACCCGTTTTTGAGACACGATGCTCAATCTATATAATCCTAAGAACAAGGAATTACATAGAAGGAATGATAAAATAAAAACTGTAAATCATATGGTTGCCTTCTTTCTTCTTATACAAATATACTTAATAAAAAGAGGAGGAAACATACACCATCAGTTGCTATTTTTCTCAATTTATAGTAGACTAGTGTATAGCTAAGAACAAGGAACTACATAGAAGGGATGATAAATTAAACACTGTAAATCATATGATTGCCTCCTTTCTTCTTATACAAATACGTACTTATTTCTTACCATCATAATGATAACATACATATGCCTATATATATCAACGCAAATGTAGTACAAAAATCCGAATGTCACATTTCTATCTAAAAGTAACACTTTAAAATGACACTGATTAAAATTAATGTAAATATAAGTGATTGTTGTAGGACGAAGCATTCGAGTGTAGAGTCGAATAATTTGCGAAAACACGAACGTTTGACATGACTCGAACTGAGATTTGAAAATCAGAAAGAATGTTATTGTTTAAAAACGAGTGCAGAATTCGGTGGAATACGCTTTATTTTTTAGTACGTTTGTTCCGTTATGGAACAGGCTATTGTCGGATACCATGCTGCCTAGTCTTCAATATGATAAATTGTCTGGAATGGAATGCGCTTTATTTTCAGTGACGCTTGTTTTTTTTTTTGTTTTTGATTTTGACACATAGATTAAGGATAGTACTTGGGGTATTTTTGACGTTTCAGTTTTTTATTTTTATTGCAATGTAATCTATGAAATATGCAATGAATTTTAACATTATATCTAAGTATACTTGTATAATTAAATACTAAACCGGAAGTAAAACATCATAGAATATAAATATATTTTTTCAAAGAAAGTCAGCGTTTAGGTGTTATGTATGAACGCATAAACGCTTAGCTAAGTGGTGACCATTTTGGTCGCATAATTCCTAATTAGGTTTAAGTAAGTAGTAACTATTATTAATATGCGCCAAATAAATATTACTCTTTTCTTTAATTTAAAAAATCGGCTCAAAATTGGAATTTGGGCTGCCATGTGTCTAAACTAAACTCTCTTAAATTAAAATTTTAAGTTGATGTCGCGGTAAAATCTTTATTGTAAGAACCAATATGAAATAATTTTCTAATAGATTGAAGTTAGTATTTTTAATTTTATTATTATTATTAATTTTTTTTTTCATAAAATGATCAAAGATTAAGGGATAGGTTTAGAGAAATGACACCTAATTAGCGGCCCAATTGGTTAACATACACAAAAGTACAAGTGTATTAAGCCTGTGCTTTAAAGTTGATGATAGAAATAAGAGAAATAAACCATAATTTATTGAATTAAAACATTGATTGCACAACAAATATTAAAGTAGAGAGACGGATTAAGGCAAACTAGGCGCGTGCCTAGGATCGCGAAATAACAAATGGGCTTGCGCGCAGAATTTTTAAACAAAAAAAAATATGTTAAATTAATTGTGTCCGTAAGTATCTACACACAATATAAAAGATATTTATACAATTTACCCAAACATTTATGTAGCCTTAAGAACGTGCGTATCGACGGCAGTCAGTTTTTCGAATTCTTGTTCGAATTTTTCCTGTCTAAAGAGAGAAATTATTTTCTTTCAACCCTTTGAATCATACTTATTGCTACCTTTAAACTATAATGACAATTGATAATTTCGCAAGACAAAAATGTAAACACAGAAACTGATTTTTTTTTTAATAATTGTCATTGAATTTGATTAGTATAAATTTTTCAAATTAATAATTCATAACTGCAGTTATCAATGTACTACTAGTTAAAATTTATAATGTAATTATGCCCTATTAGAGGAGCGCAATGAGGTGCTTGCCTAGACGCTCTCGAGATTTAATTCACCTCTGTAGGTAGGTACCTACTCTGTAAGTATTTATAATTATATAAGTACCTAGAGAGTATAAATGTAGGTACATTTAATTGGACGTTCAAGACCAATTACATTTATATTTACAATTTATCGAATCAAATAGATAATTTATCTATGTTCCTACTTATTATGCGGGTATTCTCATGCGTTCAAAGTGCGTAATAATGTCAAATTGTAATCGCAAATATTGATATCTATAGATAAAGTTTACTAATTAATATTACCAGTTTTTTTTTTTTTTTTATACAACTTAGAATAGCAAACAAGCTGACGGCCCATGTGTGACGGCAAGTGGTAACCGTCGCCTATAGACATGAGCAGTATCATGGACATAACAGAGTATACTGTTTCGCCCATGATACCCCCCATGCGTTGCCATTCCTGAGGACTCAGGTGTTTATTCCTCTGTACCCAGTAAATTCACGTCATATCCCACCCTTCAAACCGAAACACAGCCATGCAAACACAACTGCTTCACGGCAGAAACACGAATGGGACAGAGGTACCCAAGCAATCGACTTTTGTACAAAGTCTCCCTCTGGTAATCTATATGTCTTATATATGTATCTATGTAAATGTGACCACATCTCTAATTTTCGCGCTGAGCTCAAGTGGCCCCCAACACTTCGAAGCCGTGATTAGCATATACTTTCTCTTCTTTGTTCTTTTCTATTCAATACATCAAAGAGCGATTTACTCTGTGAAGTGAAGAGTCATGTTTCGCGTACCACGAATAATTTTCATCTAAAAATCCCTTTACAGGGGGGAAAGAGATTGTTAGTAATGGAGACTAAGAATCCTATTGCTAGCAATATACCCAACCAGGTCGACCTCCTTGCGGTTCTCCCTGGAATCATGGTTAATTCCTAATGAATTCATCATGATGGGCTAACTGGCCTGTTTTCATTCTCATTTATCACCCTTCACTGGTGCTCCGCCAGCGTATCCCGTTAGCGCAGGCGGGGTTACCATACCATTTTCACCCATCAAAAAAAAAGTCCTTAGCATCGTTTAAAAGAGAAGTCAAATCGCATTTTCTTTCATTATACTTATCCTTTTCCTTTCTTCTATAATTTCTTTGTACTATATCCGTTATATTTCCTTGTGTGTGTTATATATATATATATATATATTTGATATTTTTGTATAATATAGGTTTTGTAATTTATACATGTACAAATTGTTAACTCACTCTTGCGCCACCTACCCCCTTCTATCTGTTCTCCTTTAAACGAAGGTTGTCTGTAAAAAAATGTCCTAGCCAACATATTTCCCTTGAAATTTCTAATTGTCATTGTATATTTTTATGTTTTTAGTACAATTAAATGTTAAATAGATAAATATATAAGTATATTTTTTCAGATAATAAAAGGACATTGTAACTGACAGAATTATGAGGTAACAAACAAAAATAGTAGAACCGAATTGAGTAAGTTTTCAAAAGAAAACTTTCAAAAGAAGGATACTTTCCTCCAGGTGATTGTAAGATCGTTTACCATACATTACATTAATTATATTATTTACATTTATGGTGCTGTTTATGTTTATAGGCGACGGTTTTTTTAATGGGTGATAATGGAATGGTAACCCCGCCCGCGCTATCGATATACACTGACGGGGCACCAGTGCGGGATGATAGGTGACAATGAAACCAGGTCAGTTAGCCCATCGTGACGAAATCCACTAGAATTAACCACGATAGTTCCCAGGGGGAACCGCGTGGAGGTCGATCTGATAGAGTGTATTGTTAGCAATGGGTCAGTTAGACCCCATTACTAACAATCTCTTTCCCCCCTATAGGCGACGGTTACCATTTTCCATCAGGTAGAACATATTATCACTATTAAGTGTCATAAATAATTTATTTTAAGCAAATACTCTTTGAGTACAAGGATATTGAGAAAAAAAGAGAAAAATATATAACTCTCCTCTTTATTGAGAGGAACAATAAAGAGTTTTTATAACCTAGCCATAGACAATAGAGAGGAAAGGGATTGTTAATAATAGAGACCTAACAGCCCTATTGCTAGCAATATAACCTATCAGGTAGTCCTCCAC